GTTTCCATTACATAACATAACATAACATAACTGTGATGATGATTTTACAAGACAGTGTAAAAACAATAGTAAATATGCTCTTTGAGTGATGTCAGTGTTTTGCAGCATGTGGTTGTGAATCTACCTGTTCAGTGGCGTTAGCAGTGAGGATCTGGTGTTGCTGGGTGGTGCTGTTGAGCTTGTCAATCAGCTGCTTGATCTCAGTCATTTCATTCTCTATAACATACAAGCTGAGAACTCCATACAGCTCTCCGTCATCCTCCTTCTCAAGGATCAGCACATCTTTGTTCAGCTGGGAAAGACGACGCTCCAACCCCAGCAGCAGACTCTCCAGCTCCACAGTCTGCAGAGGCAGCAGTGATTAAGCAGGAATGGAGACACACAGCATGAGAGCTTTAAAAGACTAGTTACCTTCTGTGGGGTGATGTTGCTGTTGCAGTCTGATACGTTGGTTTCAACTATCCTGAGTTTTTCATGAGGGAATGCCTTCTCTGAGTTATTCAGCTCGCATGCACACTTTTCTCGTGGAGGAGCCTGAAATTTAAATGTATTTTTAAGTGAAATAAGCAGAACATCACATTTAGTGGTATTTGGTATTTGTCACTTCATTCAAAATGGATATTTTATCATTTAAAGGAAGTCTTCAGTATTTCTTACCTGATGGGTGAATGTGAGCAGAGCCCACAGTGAAATGATCACGTACAGCTTCATGGTGAATCACAGAGAGCAGAGCTGAACAAAACCATCTGTAAACTGCTGCAGCAGCTTGTGAACATTCCCGCTAACCTCCGTATGTGAGGAAGTGGATGTGGGTGTGTTTGTATTTCATGCATCATGCATCTCAGTGACATTTGTCACTGTTTTTCATGACATTTTTTGTTAATTACAAAAACTTTTTGAAGTTGTTTTCCCCTTTTCACTGCTGTTCAGCACAGGACATTTAATCATCTACGAATTTAATCAATATGGATTCTCAGAGCCAATGGCAGTAATGACTTACGAAACACAACACTGCATTCTTCAAGATATGATTTTTCTGTGTTTACTGACTTGCACATATTTTAGCAAACCCACTGCATCAACAAGTTTCTTTGCAGATTTAAAACTGTCAGTGCAATCGGAGTCTTTGCAACAGTTTGCTCAAATGCACTCTTAAACACTATTAGAACACACAACAAAAAACATAATACAAAATAAACTTTATACAATATATTTACTTACTATAATTTTACTGTATTTGCTACATACAGTAAAGTTTATGCTGGGAACATTTTTTGTTTTATAATGTGTATGAGTCACAGCTAAACCTGCGGTGACTTGAAAATGAGACAAGTTGTAAAATAGCGAGAGACTGTCCAATTGCACCATTTGAATTTTATATTTCGTTCTGGTCTTTATTATTCGTGCAGTGTGTTAGCCACTACCTCATTTTGGTGCACGCTAAGCTCTTTTAACCATATCACGTGAGCAGTCTGTGCTAAAATAATGCATAATTTATTTATGCCTCATACAATACCAGACTTGGATTAGCAATACATATTTGTCCAAGAAATTCAAGAAATGTAAATTATTTTATTATTTTTATCTATTTAATTTTCCCAACACATAACATTTGTCACTCCCCTAAGCGTCTCATAGTAACGTAAAAGGTACCCTTTTGTCCTTATGAAACGCTCTGAACAGCAAGCCACTTAAGACACAGTGGTAAGACACACTTGAAGCACAGGCTCCAGCCATCCATTCCAGCCCTAACCCTAACCTTAACCATACACATAGTGTTTTCCAAAGTGATTCAGGATCTGAAAGTGAACAGATTTGAGCTTCATGTCACACATAAAAGACATTTATAGATTCAACCTGCTCTCATGCCGACGACTATGACAAATTGTGGTATGTTACGTGTTGAGATGAGAACGTGTTGAATAATATTACGAACTGCAGGCAGGTCAGTTTAACACCAGGACTTTTTCACAATATGCTGTAGACAATTTATGATGTAACATATGTGATTTGGACCTTCCCTAAAAAATGTATCAAAGGAAGCTGTCATGAATTTACTAAAGAAATTAAAAATGTGTTCATACCACAGTTTTTTCTGTGGAGTATGATAAAGACAGCTCTCAGGTGCTAGACACAGCTCCCGACTTCTCTGACAAAAACTAGAGACCACAAAGACAACAGGTGGAAAACCACAATGAAATGAATCAAACAAGAGTGGACAAAGAACATGAATCCAGATTCCAAGATGGGTATTTCACGGCCATTTGAAATTGTCCCTTATACAAGACTGAGGTCTCCAACTGGAAGCAGTCCATCTGTCACCATATTAAAGACATCAGATAAACAGAAGGTTAAGCAAACATAGCAACAGTAATGTTAGGCAGTGGATGTCAAGAACCAAGTACAGTCTATCTGACAACACAAAGATAATTGTCTGTTTTGATACAGACATCTCTTAAACCTTTATTTATTGAATAATCACCAGAGATAAAGTTTTGTGTACAGGTAGCAGTCTAAACCTGTTGTAATAACACTCTGTTAACACTATTACAGTCTGCTAGTCAATAAGCATTCATAGCTCAGTGCTGTGGCTGGATGATGCAATAAGACCCTGCATAAACGCAGACGGTGACTAATATGTACCCTTGGTTTTTTAGGCTTCATAGAGACTTACGTGCAGAATTTTTGTTGTGGATCCTGTAACAGTGAAGTTTTAGGAACAGAAAGTGCCCACTTTGCACTCAGACTGCAATAATAATTTTTTATTTTTATATTGTGGTTTGTGTTATGCATACAATGTCTTAGCAATGGTTGAATTTATTGTGTTCTAAGCCCTTTAACTGCTTTACATACACCAAGTCTCCGGTAATACCTTTAGCACAGAGTTTGATTATGTTTTAAAGTATTGCAAACACATTTTTAGAAATTAAAAGGTTTCTTTTAGATTTTCAAATGAAGTCTGAGTTGGTCACTGATATATTTTAGTGGAATATAAGCACTAAAAGAAAAGAATGGGCTTAAACTTAGTTATGCTTAGACTTAATAATCAATATGCTTTGTTCATATTTTCATTTTGAATTGGAAATGTTAAATTTGATTAATTTGCTGTGCAGATGTGCATTAGAAGATTTAATTTGTGTTCTGGTTCAAAAGTAGTTCACTTAGGTCTTGGCAATTAGAGGACAACACAAATGGTCATTTAAACTAACATCTACTGCACAGCTCATAACATGTTTTCCAAAGACGTGCTCTTTTCTTAGGCCTTGGGGCCATTGTTGTGGTCAGCGCCAAAGATGATTTGGACTTTAGAGGGTAAAGGATCAGTTATTCATTTTGTAACAGCTGTAACAAAATAAGTAGTTTAAAGCAGGGGTCTCGGACTCCAGAACTCAGATTTTAGATGTGTCCTTGATCCAACAAAGCTGATTTAAATGGCTAAATTACCTCCTCAGCATGTCTTGAAGTTCTCCAGAGGCCTGGTAATGAACTATTTCAGGTGTGTTGACCCACGGTGAGATCTACAACCTGCAGGACACCGGCCCTCAAGGCCTGGGGTTACGAGACCCCTGGTTTAAATCAAATACAGCTTAGATAAATTTGGCAATATTGCATTTCAGCAAATGGTTTAATGTAATTCATTAGAATGTTAGGGGGCAAAAACATAAAAGTATTTGTCACCTCAAACACAAAAATATTGACTCTCATTAGAATTTTTTTTTACTTTTATATAAAGTCAGTTAAATATGTCAATAAAAAATCTCTTAAGTCAGTAAAAGACAAAAACAAAAAAATTAGCAAACTAACTAATAAAATTAGCAAATTATTAAACACTGACCATTACTATGAAAATTAACCTTAAAAGTTACCCCATATATGAAGGTTTTTCAGCCCTTTTTTCTGACCTTCATAAATATTTATTTTACTGGAGCAGTTATTTGAATCGAATCTTTTATGAATTTACTCAAAAATCACTTTATAGTAAACCATGTTGGAGTCAGAGTAGACATGTAGTGTCTGGTCCACAGGGCTGTAGTTCAGGGCTTGAATGTTGGGAGAACTTCTTATGAAGATGCCACGTTGAACCTCCTGTCCCGTCACGGGGTTGAAGGAGTAAAAGATCTCCTCGACCTCTTGGTTGACGTAACGTGTGGCGTAGAGGACGCCGCAGGCCATGAAGGTGTTGGTCACTGCCTGCTTGTAGACTGAAGTGTGCCAGGTTTGTCCGAGCTTTGGTGGTTCACCTTCTTCCACCTTGGACAGAACCAAGTTGCCAAAGTCCTGGGTGGTGGTGTAGACCACCCAGATGCCAGACTCATCTGTTGCAAGATCCAGATCAGTGTATGGGTAACACTCCTCAAGGTGGCAGAAGTTACCTTTTGAGTTATATCTGGTTAACAGAGGACAACAGTGAATGTTTTACACTTAAAAAGCAACTCTTATTCATAAATGAATGTTTCCATCATAGTTATGTTTCATATTCTTGCAGTAATGAGCTCAAAAAAAAGTTGTGGAAAAAAACCTAGTGCCTTGGTGTAGTTCTAAGGTAGTGACGTGTTTGGTGGTGAGGTTGAAATGACAAACAGCATCTCGGTTGTAACAGTTGTAATACAAAGCCCCTCCATACAGAACATTATTTGGACCCTGGATGGTGTTGGTAGTTGGGTTAGAGGTGTGGATGTAGACATTACCTGGAAAAGAAGTAAGGAAAAAGCAGTGTGATGGGGAAACTCAAATTTAAGTATCATTGGTTGTGTTTTTAGAGAACGAATAAGCAATTTAGATCTACACAGTATGACACATTAAAATATGCACAGTTAGTAAAGCATCAATACATAACATTGTTTAATAGAACTTTATCAGGTAATGACTTAAATTATTCTCTTATGAGAACTATTTACTAGAGTATCTCCTAGGAAGTCTTCCAGTGCAGGTGAAGTTTTTACTTTCTTGCAAACATTTTACAATTTATTTCAAAGAATATTCACAGTTTATTTAAACGTAATATTTGCTAGAAACTGCACCCGATGCTACTTTAGTAAGTTTTTTTTTGTTGTTGTTGTTAAATTACAGTGCATGTTAACTTTCTAATGATCTGTATAACCGGACTTCAACATTTGTGAAGCTCTGCAGTCACTGTCATTCTCATTTATTTTCAGTAACACAAGTTAAAGGAAAACAGGTCTTCATTGTCTTTAAAAAATTTCAAAGGAATTCAATCCTGTCATCGGCCACTTCAAAGGGACGACTGGCACGTTTGACACTACACAGCAGTTCCTTACCTGGGGCACTCACCCCCCTAATGAGAGAGTTCAGGCTGGAGTAAAAACGAATGTAGTTGGAGTATCTGTTGTTGGAAGTCATCATCACCAACCAATACCAGTTTTCTTTCCCTTTCTCTGGTTTGGGATCACAGCCCCAGGCTCCATAAGAATACAAGTCAGGATACTCTCCTTCTGTGTAGAACACTGGCCCGGTAACACTAACAAGCCGGCTGCGAGGACAAGTACCTGAAGGAAAATTAAAGTGTGTATTAACTGTGAGCCATACTAGTCCTATAGAGGTTTCAACCTCTTAACAATCGCAAGTGAGGCATAACTCACCCTGTGGAAGCTGTGGAAGCTGGGTGAGTGCCTTCACTTCCTTTTTGCAACTGTCCAGGTCTGTCCTCAGAACCTCGATGGTTTGTCGTCCCTTTATCACCTGCATGGTGTCGAACTTCTCCAGCGCTTTCATTTCTGTTTTCATGATCTTCAGCTGAGAGAAAGAAGACATTCAAATGTGGAGCCAAACAGAGAAAAATGTATTTCTTAACATGGCTTGATACTCCACAAATCAACAAAAGGGCACTCAAAACAATGAATATACAGAATATGTTTAACAGAATTAAATGTCACTGTTCTGTTAACACCATCTATAATATAAAATAGTGAAAACACAATAGTAGATGTACACTTCAGGGTGATGTCAGCATTTTGCAGCATGTGGTTGTGAATCTACCTGGTGGCGTTAGCAGTGAGGATCTGGTGTTGCTGGGTGGTGCTGTTGAGCTTGTCAATCAGCTGCTTGATCTCAGTCATTTCATTCTCTATAACATACAAGCTGAGAACTCCATACAGCTCTCCGTCATCCTCCTTCTCCAGGATCAGCACATCTTTGTTCAGCTGGGAAGACGATGCTCCAACCCCTGCAGTAGACTCTTCAGCTCCACAGACTGCAGAGACAGCAGTGGTTAAACAAACAAACAGTATGACACTATGAGTTGCAGGGTAACTTACCTTCTGTGAGATGATGTTGCTTTTGCAGTCTGATGTACTGCTTTCAACTTTTCTGAGTTTTTCATGGGGGAATATTCTCTCTGAGTTATTCAGCTCGCATGTACACTCTGTATGCTCCTGAAAATGTAAGGGTGGTGTATTGTGAATTGTACTAAAGTTTTAAAAAGATTTCTATGTGACCTGAGGCTTCAGTGTTTCTTACCTGCTTGGTGACGGTGAGCAGAGCACACAGTGGAATGATCACATACAGCCTCATGTTGGACCAGAGAGAACATTTTGTGTCTGACTGAAGCAGTAACATCAAACTTGTGAGGAATCGTGCGAACGTCTAGAGAAGAAATAAAAAATGTTGACAATCACAGACACAGAACGAAAGCGAGAGAAAGCACGACACAAAGAGAGAAAGAGAACAACTTAAACAAGAAACAATAGCCACAAAGAGGAAAAAAGAAAAACACACTGTTACTACAGATACTGCAACACAGTGGAATAAAAGCAACAATAAAAAAATGCAGAAAACTATTACACCTTAACTGAATAAGCACATTCCTGTGCATCTGATAATAAAACTTGGAATACGTGGACTATACAAAGATAATCCAAACAACTGATTCATGCACCTTTTTTTGAGGATTTTAAGGACATTTCATATGCAGCTTCTCTCAATGGAAGATGTAGTAACAGGTTTCAGGAACAGGAAGTGAAAATTCTACATGAGTGCAAAAAATACCACAGAAAGAAAAATCATGTCATGTCCAATTATACCATTCACAATTAATTTTTAACTCTAGAGGTTGCTATCCATGCTATGTTTTTGTGCCTGTTAAGTGTTCAAATTGTGCAGTTGTTATCGTTACTCGTGCTACACAACTGGAATTGGTGATATCCTGTACGCTTGCTCAGTTCAGTTTAATTTAACTGATTTGAATTGTAATGTATTTTTATGGGTTGATTAACTCACCACCCAATAACATTTAGGATGTGAGGAAAACAATTTGTATAGTTTTGAAAAAATGTATCATGTTTTTCCTTTTTTATATATGAAACATCGATAAACATATCTGGTAAACATTTGAGGTCTCCATTCTCATATGTTGTCTTTTATAATTATTGACAAAAACCAGCAAACAGAAATGAGTCAACTGGAGAAAGACTGAAAGATTTTAAAGCAACACATTCTCTTCCCAAAACGTAACATACCGACGCTATCGCCGTGTCTCAATTCCTAGGCTGCATCCTGCTGCATTTGTAGACCGATTAAGGCACAGCCAGGGGACGAAGGCTGTCCCAATTCGAAGGATACTACAAATGCGGCCGACAGATGTGTCCTTCATTTCGGGTGTATCCTTCGTGGCCCAACCTATCCCAGAACTCATAGTGCGGCCCCGCCAATTCCAGTTTCCAACAATCGTGGCAGCTCCTTAGTTTTAATATTACTCTTATTACTACTTTCTGTGTGACAAAATAAACCTTTAAGATCTTTTCAGACAAGAATGTAGCAGTGTACTGAAAATATAGTAAAACACAATTTACTTGTTTTTTAAATATATTTTTTGTACATATGCATATTTAGATTGTAAAAATACATTCAGAAATGTATCATAATTTCACAAATATTTGTCTGTTATGTGAGAGAATGATCTGTTAAATTCAAATGTAATACTATGGAAAAATATATAAAATGATCGAAAATTAATGAGAATAATCAATAATTAAAAGAGTAATTTCAATAATTCAGAGGTAACAAGTGAAAATATAATTAATAGGAATAAAAACTAAAAAAAACATATAAAACATTGCACGGCCACGCTGTGCTAATTATATATTTTAAAAAATAAATGTAGAGTAGGAATTGGTAAATTTGATTCTTTTTTTTTGTGATCAATATTTTATTGATTTAAAACGGGGTTGGGGTTGGGGGGGGTACAGACATATACAGCACAACTGTAAACTGCAGTAGCAAAGCAAACATTAGCAAACAAGGCATAGGGACAGCAAAGAAAAGACACAAAAACACAAAGTTAAAACCAATTATTGCCTCTTCCAGGAGATAACTCTGGATGAGAAGATTTTCCAAGCGTCAACAGTCGTGGGTCGAGCTTTATTTAATTTTGCTGTGGTATGTTCAAAACCAATAACACGGATAAGACATCGTCTCCAGAATGATTCCATACAAATGTCAGGACAGAACCATTGCTTTGTAATAGTCTTCTTTGCGGATGTGAATCCAGCGAACAACATTTTGCATTGCATTTGTTTTAAGGAGATTTCAGAGGTATCATTAAGGAGACAAAGACCAGGATTGGGAACATAAAAAACTTCCAGTACCTCAGATAACACAGAGTTCACAAAGACCCAAAAATCGGATACCACAGGACAGTCCCAAAACATGTGCAAAAACGTGCCAGGTGATGAATCATTGCAGATGTGACAGTGATACGTAGCCTGTAGTTTCATCTGGAACCTCCTACAGGGTGTAATGTATGTTCTGTGTATGGTTTTGAAATGAATTAATTTATGCGCCAGGTTCTTAGAAGTCAAACTCAGATTAGACCACACTGTATCCCAGTCTATATTAACCTGTAGTTCTCCCAGTTCCCTGACCCAAATAGATTCAATGGGCAGGGACTTCATACCATGTTCGCTAATTTGTTGTAGATTTTGGAAACAGAGGGTCTGCCAGATTTAGGCAGGATCCAGTCCAACATGGGATGAGAGGGAAGAGGAGAGTCCCAGGGGACACCATATGCTTTTAAAGCTGATCTGAGCTGCAGATATACATAAAGACAGGGAAAACGTTCTAATCGATGGAAACCTTGGCTGATAGAATCAAGACCAGGGAACAAGAGGGAATCGCTGAAATAATTTATATCCGTGGAGCTTTAAATTCTGGAGCCCAGCCGCCGTTCTATCTTCCTCCATACCTGTATAGAGTTGGCAATAATAGGTCCGAATTCGTTGTTGTTGTAGAGCGTATTGGCGGGAACATTAGCAAACAGAAGATCTTGTAGTCTATGCGGTGCTGCCTTGGCGGATTCGATCATTTTCCACGCAGTAGTAGTCTCTGGGTTGACCCACGTACTAAGCGCCCTGATTTGGAATGACCAGTAATAAAACTCAAAGTTTGGTACTGCCAGGCCACCAAACAATTTGGGCCGCTGCAATGTTGACAAACGTATCCTAGGCCTTTTGCCATTCCAAATAAATTTAGACACCGCAGAGTGTATGTCTTTAAAATAAGTTAGAGGAGGAGAGAGTGGCAACATAAAAAAAAGGAAATTAAGCCGTGGCAGTATGTTCATCTTTACTGTGTTGATTCTACCCTGAAGCGAAGTTTTTAAATTGTCCCATCTTTGAAAGTCGGATTTGATCTTATTTAGCATAGTAGTAAAATTGTCCTTGATTATCTTTGGAATACTATTATGAATTGAAATGCCCAGATAAGTAAAAGTGCTTTTGATCTGAACACAACCGGGTAAGGAAACTTTCGTAGCGTTAACGTTCAAAGGCATCAGAGCAGATTTCGACCAGTTTATTTTGTAGCCAGATAGAGAGCTGAAATGGTCAAAGTTTTTAATTAATGGATGGATGGACGTCTCATAGTTGTCCAAAAACAGAATAATATCATCCGCATATAGAGATATGATATGATTTTGACCACCAATTCTTATGGGAGAAATTGTGGACTGTGTGATGACTTGTACTAGGGGCTCTAGAGAGAGGCAGAACAGGAGAGGAGAGAGAGGGAAACCCTGCCTCGTTCCACGCTGCAGCGTGAAAGGGGGAGAGACCAGGTCCCCTGTTAAGACACTAGCAAGAGGTGAGTGATATGAGTGATATAGTGTTTGAATCATAGCAACAAATTTCTGCTTAAACCCAAAGTGTTTCAATACCATCCACATATTGTCCCACTCTAGCCTATCAAAGGCTTTTTCTGCATCAAGTGAAAATACGGCACATGGATTTTGATAGCTGTTAGCAGCATCTATGATGTGCAACAGCCGTCTCATGTTATCAGATGCAAGCCGCACACATGTGAGTGAAATTCAAATTCAAATTCAAATTTTATTTGTCACGTACACAGTCATACACAGTACGATATGCAGTGAAATGCTTGGACAATTCTTGTGTGCGAGCTTCACAAGCAACAGAGTTGTGCAAAATACAATAATGTAAACAAGCAAAATACAAGAATTGCTACATCTGAAAATAATAAATATATGTACAATATATAATAGTATATGCATTTCTGGATGTGTATACTAAATATTTTTCTACCTGTGTGTGTGTGTGTGTGTGTGTACACAATTAAATAGAGTAAACAATAAATAAAATATATAAAAATATACAGAGTTGAGACATGTGCAAAACAGTGGCATTACTGTACAGTATGGAGTGCATAATGTTAAAGTTCCAGTAGTGAAGCTGAGGTGTCTATGACGTGTTCAGCAGTCTGATGGCCTGGTGGAAGAAGCTGTCT